TGAGGCCTGAATGCGTACCTGCGCGTCGGCGAGTTGTGGTTTTGGGATGTGATGCCTTTGCAGACGGAGTGTGTGGAACTGGTTTGGAACCATCAGACCGTGACCAGGAATGCACTTGGTTTAGTTGTGACAGACAGGGTAGCTAACGAGCCTGTGGAAACACTCTTCGGCTGCGCCGTAGATACCTCAAAGACGGATAAAACCATATGAAGTGGAAAGGAGGAATAAGCGAGGCTCTTGCCGAGTGCTTTCCAGTGCTGAAGGAAAATTTTATTCTTCCTTTAGATACCTTCCTAGCAAAGGGCTCTGCTACTCTGGAGAAATTGAAGGACCTCTGTAACAAAGGGGAAGAACATCCTTCTGTGCTTTGGCAGCTCTATACACAGGTAGTATAATTAAAGCATTTAGAACTCCATTTTTAGAAAATCTGTGTAGAAGGGCATGGGAGAAGGTTGGGTTTAGGAAAGAGGGTGTGGCAGATTTCTGTTATTTGATGTGTGTGGTGAACATCCATGAAGTACAAGGCTGCTTTTGTTTGAATTAGAAAATAACTTGGAGTTGAAAGTAATTGTGCTAGTACTGTAAGGACAGAAAGGGTTTTGAGTTTATGTTCACCATCAGCAATCCTACAATAAATTTAACTTGCGACTTTTGGAAGATAAATGTTAAAAATTACCTTAAAATTGTAACATTTTTATAAACTGTAACACATTTATATATTGCTGTAGACCACCACCTGATTATTTTGCTGGTTGCATTTTCACATTCTATATCTTCTTGTTTTCATAGGCTGTCTTAGACGTTACATATTTTGAGGAAAACCTGCTTGTGGATGAAGATTTTCCGGAAGAATCTTCCATGCAAAAAGTTAAAGAACTTATTTGTATTCTTTCAGAACCAGAAGTCCTAGTGAGGGAATGCAACATAGATGAAGAAGTGAGTATTAATGTTATTCAGCCAGAGAATTAATTATTTCATTCTTTAAAAATAAAAAATCTGGAACAGAATGGTAGTATTTGTGGTTTCGATGGATAGAATTTAAGATCTTCTGAAAAATGTTGAAGTCTTTTGTATATAAATAGTGATTCCTGAAAATACTTTTTTCAAAGAACTTGTGTGCTTAGAATTTTTTTTGCTAGAATTTCGTGATTCCAGATGCTTTTAGCAGTTTAAATCCAAAGTATTATGCTTGTGTCCGTGACTGTTGCTGTCAAGTACAGCCCCTAAGGTTAGAGACTTAATATACTGTTGACATGTATAAGTGTATGTATGAGTAGTTCAGATGGTTTACTATTGGTTTAGCCCAGTTTGTTGGATTTTATTTCAGCCCATCAACATCCTTGGTGCAGAGTTGTTAGAATGTCTTTACTGGAGAAAAGGAGCCCTGCTTTACATGTATTGTCATACAGCAAAAGAAAGGATTGAATGGCTACAGGAAAACATTGCCATGTTTAAAAAGGTAAAGGAGATTAAAAGAAGTTCTATGATCAGGTGAATACAGTTTTAAAGTTTGACTCTTCTCTTTTAAAATACAGCTTTTTTATTTTAAATAGGGTTTGGAGAAGTTCATACCTAGAAATATATCTGGCTAGCAATTAATCAGAACTTATCTAAATGACTTCTTTTTTTGCTTTGTTTTTTAACTATACTCAGTGTCTTAATGATGGAGTTCATTACTTGATGAAGATGCTTAGCTTTAGATGCCCTCTTCAGCTAAATGAAGATGTTTCACTTCAAGATAAAGACACAGCTAGATTACTCACTGAAGGTAAAAAAAAAAGCAACCTCCAAAAACCCCACAACCTACTCCTCTCAATAACTATTCCACTTTAGAAATGCTTTATTGTGTGTTTTTGTTGTTTAACTTCATTTGTATGCAAAAACTCTCACTTTTTAGGAAAAAAAAAATAGATGAGACACATAAGCAGGCAGCAGTGCTCTCCCTGCCCCTACTCTCCCCAGCCCCTTCTTTTTCATTCATGGGCTTTAGGAGGTGACAGTGCTCATTTTTTCTATGTTTTTGAGTGCACTGGAGGAAAGTAAACTGAGGCAATTGGTGGTTTAGGCACAGCACACGTGTTTTACAATCATCCCATTGTCAGTTGACAAATGTTGAAAGCACAGATACGGCTGCAGAGAGTGCTGGGTGTTCCTGTGTTGGTGTTCCTGTTTAGATCTAGGAGAGCACAGATCAGAGCACAGAGTTACTGACTTCACACAGGTAGATAGTACGTGCAAAACTAGTTTAGATTTGGCAAACTTTTATTCTCTCTGCCTCCACTATACGTAGCTTGATATAAGTTGCACTACTATAGTGCATTTACATGAGGATCTGAGGCTGTTTCGGGTGATGCAGGTAGGGTGATACAGCAGCAGAGGATTTGTAAAACCGCTGGTGCTGGGGACACGACGTCCATGTTGTACACACTCAAAAGTAGCTCTGCTCTGGCTGTGGGGGGATGGAGCACCTTCTTGCTTAATTTCACCTGAAAGTGGCATTGCTCCAATTCAGCTGCACAGTGCAAAGCCAAGTTCAGTAACTGATCTGTAGATTTATTTAGCAGGATATTTTTTTTCTGTGACCATGGACATGTACACGGCTTTCTATTCAAATACTAAAGCTGCTGCTGGTTAACCTGAGTTAAGATGATGCTCAAACAGCGTCTTCTTTTAGGCGTAAATTGTGGGAGGCACAGACGTATTCTAAAATGAATAACACGCAGTCATGCCTGCACTTAATGGACTGTAAAGAAATACTGAAATTCTCTAAGATAACAGGCGAACACAATTATTGGAATAATATTTATATGGCAATCTTACAGATTTTAGCATTATGGAGGGGTAAAATAGAGTAACGAGCAAGGCCTTGATCCAGGTTCTCTTCTGGACTATGTCAGTCATCTCACGGTTAAAATTTATTTCTTTGGTGTACCTCTTTAACACCCTTATACTGCGTTTTTCAAATTTCTTTTCAGTGTTACTGAAAAAAATAACTTGAAGTTAACAAGCTGCGTACTTGCTTAGAACAAATAGTGCTTGATCTAAATTATTTTTGCAGGTGTATTTAGTGACACTCACTTACTGGCAATGATGTACAGTGGAGAAATGTGCTACTGGGGACTGCGGCACTGTGGAGAAGGAAAGCAGGAAAGCCTTGAGATGACAGATTCCGTCACTAACAGTGACCTGGGCTGCAGATCACAGAGCGCGTGGCTGGATTTCCGAGAAACGGGCAAAAACATGTTAACGAAGTATGTGACTGTATGTGAGGGACCTTTAAAAGGCCAAGGGTGGAACACAACAACTGCAAAACAAATGTTGTGTTACTTTGTGAAATCCCACAATTAAACTACACTGCTTTGTCTCGCTGGAAGAAACCTTGTGTCCGAAGAGCGCGCTTTAGGGGGGGTGCTCTCTGCTTCAGTATCTGACCGTTCTTAGCTCTGATCAAAATGTATACTTCCCTTGAATTAAAAACAGGCATTCAAGGAACTCCAGCAATACAGGTCCAAGGTCTAATCAAGGATTTCTAGAAAAAAAAAACCCACGGCTGTGTAATGATAAACTCGGACGCAGGGATGACTGCGTGTGTTTCCGCTCTGCCTCGCCTCGCCCACCGGCGCCGGCGCACTAATGCCCGAGAGGCGGCGGCAGGGCTCAGTGCTATGGCTG